TTGTTAGTCTGAAAATTTGACTCAGATTAAGTCAAACATTTCTGCCAGTGGAGTAAGAAAATTTTACTTGGTAAGATTCTTGAAATAAGAAAAAAATGAGTCAAATCAAGTATTTCAAGAATCTTACAGTCTTGTTTAGTAAATCAGTCTCAAAACAAGATGAAAAAGTTTTTTGGCTGGATATAAGACTTTAAAACTTGGTTAGGTGGACATTTTTTGCAGTGTGTAACTGCATTACAGGCTGTTTACAGTGGCAACACTGGAAATACTCATTTACTTTTCGTTTCTGTGAAGGTACGAAATCAAAGTTAGCAAAACAGCGCAGGATTAAAACCTGATCTGCAGCGTGCAAATGTGACAGATGAAACAGAAAAGAGTGCAAATGCAAAAGCATCGAGCACTGGGCGGGTATTGTGGTGAGAATACAAACCACAGAGGAGACKAAACCAATCTGACTAATCACACATGATCTCAAAGAGAATTAATCAGCAGCTCTGGTTAACAATCTGTAATCATCCTCAATCTGCGCTTAATGCCGTTTAATTTATGAAATTCGGTCTGACTTGGATATGAGGGCAACAAAAACAGCAGCATCTGAAGCCCAAAGCAGATGAGGAGATCATAGCGTGTCCCTGAAAGACCCTGAGCCGGTTCCTCTGACTGCCAGTCCAAGTTGAAGAACAAGACTTGTGGAGGTTTTAGTGTTGGTAAGAATCACACTCCTACATCCCTTCTGACCTGAAGGCTGAACAAGTCCGGCACATAAACACAGGCCTCGTCCAGCCGCAGCGTCCAGCATCAATAAAACACATGGAGGTGGAAAACCCATCAGCTCTGCTCATGCATCAGGGCGGTGCAGCACCACGAACACACAAGTTTGTGTGGACAGAGATTAGTTAAACACACGTCACGCCTAACGTACACCCGTGTTCAGCATCCCCCCCACTTTGTGCACCAGTACTCACCCAAAAGTACATCATCATGTTGGAAGCGGGACAGGTGTGGGCAGGCGGGTGCAGGAGAGCGGGGCCGAGCACTGGGACCAGTCCAGCCAGTGTGGGTGTCTGAAGGAGTCCGGAGGTTTGGACAGAGAGCTTTACTGGTCCCTGGTCCACAGAGGCAGCCCTCCTCAACTCTTCACTGGGGCTTGACTTGAGCTTTAGGTTCACTCCCTTCTTCGTCTCTCTTTTTTTGTTCTTTTTGCTTCCTTCTCGGCAAGCAGCTTGTTCTTCAGTTAATTTTTAAAAGCCCCCTTTCTTTCTCTTCTTCCTCTTGTGAGCCAACACGAAAAAGAGGGAGAGAAAGCAGACGGGAGAAAGGAAAGAGAGCTGGGGAGGTGTTGTAACCTCTTTTTTCTTTTGACACTCTTCCACTCCACTTGCCTCTCCACACCACTCACTTCGAGACTCTCCCTCCCTCTCTCTCTCTCCCTCTCTCTCTCCCTCTCTCTCTCCCCCCTGTGCCGTCTCTTATTGGTGAATGTGAAATCAGTCGGTACGGCGCCGGGGCTCAACTAGAGCAGCAGGAGCAGCAGCCTGCGCTTGACAGCTGCCTCCAGCGTTCCTCCACCGGAGCCGTGTTGCTCTGCATAGAGGAGTGCGCCGAACAGTCCGGGATCCTGCAGACGGTACTGTAAAATTCAGCGTCCCGGGGAGGAGGGGGGAGAGGGATGGAGAGAAAGGGGGGTGCAGGAAGCTGGTGGTAGAAAGCTCTGCAGGGAGGGAGGGGGGGAGAGGATGGCGATAGTGGAGGACTAACAGATTGCTCGTCTTTCTTCTTCGTGCTGTCTTTGACGGAGACGAGTTGCATTGAAGTTGTGGCAGTTTTAGTTCGTTGAGGAGAAGGAGGAGGACCAGAGAGGGGAAAAAAAACTGCGAGGATCTCAAAAAGCCTAAAAGAGCGGCACAGACATCTGGGAGGCAGAGCCCGTTTTCCACTTGTTTTCCACTTTTAGCTGCCGAGCTTCACACGTGCTCCTTAGCATTTTGTTTCTCCTCCCAGTGCAGCCTGATGGGTTAGTGTCCAGGAGCAGTTTTGGTTCAACAAACCTTTTTTCCAGGTGATGTGTTGTGGCAGATCAGAGGCCAGATGAAGTTGGTGTGAAATACCTTTGTGTGCCAAGCTATATTACATTACATGCTTTAGTGTGTTTTCCATCTGGCGGCTATAAAGAAGGGGAGGCGGTGGGTGGGGGGTGGTGGTGGGGTATAGGAGGCGGGAGGCTTGGCTATCTTCTAGACAGCGCTGTAARAATGAGCCTGCCTCAGCAATTTTCAAAACATATCATCAATACACGACCGGGGAGCACGCGCTTTTAAATATTAACCCCGTGGCGACCGGGGCAGGCCGTGGAGAGCTCGAGCGGTTTTGCGGCATCCTCCTCCGGTGCAGGATCATCCAATAAAAGACGTCCTGGGGGGATGAGCTAATTTGCCGTAGGATCCTAAAGAACATTTGGCCGCTATAGAGCGCGCTGCCGTAATGAAGAGAGCAGATATATTCAGGTTGTGTTACCCATCAGTAATTGCCACATAAGGTGGCGGTGTTGGATTTGCAGCTGGCTTTGAGCAAACCCATACACAAGGGGCCTCATTCATACGGCATAACTGTCATCTTAAATTTATCACCCGTTTTATTTTTTCCTCCTTCCTCAGAAAAACAGAACCAAACGGTGGAATGTGAAACGGCAGTTGAGGAGATGCAAACGATAATTTTGTAGGATTTCTCGTGTTTCAGGCGGATTTTAACCACGTTCTCATAAAAGTCGCTGCTTTCACATCACAGTCTCGTGTTTCTGCTGCTTTAAACGCACACAATCTCCAACTGGTGGCTCAGTGGGCTCATACAAAACCTCCTTATACATGTCCAGCACAACACCATGGATTTACATTAGCAATCACAGAGTGGATAACCTCCCTACTCCTCCATCAATCTCTGATGGGAAATAAAAATGAAATGCACTTCTCAGGCAACTCAGATTAAAGATCACGCTTTTATCAAATACTGAAGTCTATTTCAAGTCCTACTCATAAATAACTGAGGGGAGAAACGGAGGCAAACGAGAAGGGTGGAGGCTAAAAGAAAAAACGAGGGTGGTGTGGGTGTAGACAGAAAGCATCGTGGTCTGAAGCTGACAACAAAATAAAAATCAGAAAACATCACTGCATCGAAATGATCCCAGGGACGTCCTRTAACTACAGATTCTAAAAGTTTGGAAAAAGCTGGTGTTAATCAGATGATCCTCCTCGCTTCCTGTCACCGCTCCGAGCTGCACTTTTCCCGCGCTCGACACTACTTACCAGGGCTGCGAGTGGCTTTCCCAAGCATTTAGATTTCCCACCATCGTCTAGACACTCCCCTGAGGTTCTGCCATCCATTATAAAGATGGAGCTTTCAAAGAGAAGAGGAAGTGAAGGCCTCACAGAGAGTGCGTTCTGCCCGAAACGTCCGTCTGAGCCCYATCCTTACTGACTCCATATCTGTTGGCTTAATATTTTATGATGGTCTCACCTTTTTTCTGATACTTACGGAGCAACTTCTGTCAAACCACACTCAGACCTGCTCATTAGGACGACTCTAGATGAAACAATGAGCGGCACCTCCTCTGATGTTCTCGCTCCCTGCGGAGCCCCGGGCTTTGGCTTTTGTCCTCACTCAAACTCTTGCTGCTGCTCGGCCCGTTCTCAGCTGGTCGGAGCCACGGCGTGCCGAGGGATGCAGATCCATCGCCCAGGTTGGTTTTATCCAAACAGATGCTTCAAGTTATGGTTAGCACGAGAGGTTGCAGAGAGGAGAACAGAAATAAAAACATGGTTCCATATCATTTCCATCCCCAGTTTCTTCTTCCTTTGAAGTCTCTAATGGTTTTTGCTGAACTTTGTGTTAGTGCTCCGGGTTCTAAAGGTAAAATCATGCAAACGTCTCATCAGATAATATATAAAGAGCTCACCCTTCCACCAGGACAAACCTGACTTTAGAGTAGAGATTCTCTTTTTATATGTTTCACAAACATCCTATTTATCTATTATTTATTTAATGAGAGTTAAAAAAATCTAACCTGGTTCAGAGAGGTAGCAGCGTTTTGGCTTCCACACACAGTGTTCAGATCACAGAAAACAACAGACTTAATGTGTTTATTCCTGCATGGATCAGGGGCTAAACACAGATCTAGATACATATTTACCCAGAGGTGTCAAGTAACTAAGTACAAATACTTTGTTACTTTACTTAAGTAGAATTTTTGGTTATTTATACTTTAATGGAGTAATTATTTTTCAGCCTACTTTTATTTCTACTCCTTACATTTTAATTCAATTATCTGTACTTTCTACTCCTTACTTTTTAAAAATGCAAAAAGTTTGTCTTTTCTATGTAACTCTGACTTGTTTTTATTCCATCTTTTCATTGTTCAGAATTACACACACACACACACATATATATA